CTATGAATTAATGACTTCCAAAATGTCCTGTCATTATCAGCCTTGCTCAAGTCTTACAAACTGAGGGCCTTTGTGGCTTCCTTGATTGAGTCCATCCATCTCAAGTTGGGTCTTCCTCTCTTCCTGATGCCTTCCACCTTCCCTAGCATTATTGTCTTTCCCAGTGACTCTTGTTGTCTCATAATGGGACCAAAGTATAATAGCTTCAGTTTAGTCATTTTAGCTTGTAGGGAGAGTTCAGGCTTGACTTGATCTAGAACCCACCTCTTTTTGGCAGTCCACGGCAATGTTCCCTCTAAGCTGAGTTAGTGTGAGCTAGCTCAGTTTTTTGGCCTCTGGCTCATACATAATAAAAAGTAGAGACATCACCCTGCGCAATAAAAAGTAGAGACAGCATAATAAAAAGTAGAGACATCACCCTGCCAACAAAAGTCCGTATGGTCAAAGCAATGGTATTCCCAGTAGTAATGCATGGTTGCGAGAGCTGGACCATAAGGAAGGCTGAGCGCTGAAGAATAGATTCTTTTGAATTATGGTGCTGGAGAAGACTCTTGAGAGTCCCTTGGACTGCAAGGAGATCAAATCAGTCAATCCTAAAAGAAATCAACCCTGACTGTTCCCTGGAAGGCCAGATACTGAAGCTGAAGCTCAAATACTTTGGCCACCAAATGAAAAGGGAGCACTCACTGGAGAAGACCCTGATGCTGGGAAAGATTGAAGGTCAAAGAAGACGGGGACGGCAAAGGATGAGATGGTTAGACAGTGTTATCGATGCGACGAACATGAAGTTGAGCCAACTCCACAGGATGGTGGAGGACAGGAGGGCCTGGCGTGATGTGGTCCATGGGGTTGCGAAGAGTCAGACTCGACTGTGCAACTGAACAAGAACAATCACACCTTTTATTCTTAGCTCAGGAAGGATGGCTCCAGAGCAAACTAATTTATGCAGTAGCCAAATTGCTCACTCACAACTTTAAAGCCAGGATCTCACAAAGTAGAATTTTTGCTCACAAGACTCCACAGCTTAGAGGGAGCATTGGTCCACGGTATCTGTAAAACTGTCATCCAACACCACATTTCAAAGGAATCAACTTTCTTCCTGTCAGTTTTCGTCATTGTCCAACTTTCACACACATACATAGTAATGGGGAATACCATGGTATGAATTATCTTGATCTTGGTTTCCAGCCACACATCTTTGCTAGCTCCTTTGTGGCTGCCCTTGCCAGTCTCAATCTCCTTCTGACTTCTTGGTTGCAGTCTCCCTTTCAGTTGATAATGGAGCCAAGGGATAGAAAATCTTTAACAATTTCAGTTCCTTGCACGTATGAGCTATAGGCTTTTATCTGAGTCAGCATTTAGCTTAGCTTTGGTGTCCAGGATCAGCCCTGGAATAAATGAAGGAATATATAAAGAAAACCATGCTTTTGAGCACATGTAGAGCTCTTTGCCTCTGAGCAGGCAAAAACAGTCCTCACACATCTGGGATCTGATGTGAAGGTATCCAAGAAAGCTTGAACCCTGTCAACCAACTCTCATCTGTTGAAATTAAGCCCTGGTTAAACTGCACTACAGAGATTATTCTCTGCCCTTCCTTACAGGTAACACAAGTCATCAGGAATGTTTTTTCTTGCAATCCATGACCGTTTACCAACTGGGACTGTTCATCAACAAAGAGTGCACAGCACCGGGCAGACAGCAATATGGTCATTTAATGTATTTAGGTGGGTAACAACGCAATCCTAAACAGTTACACCCTTCTAAATCCACTGAAGTCAGTAGGTTCAGAAGGGTGCAGTTCTGTTTAGGATTGCACCATAAGAGACATTTACGCTGTGTCGACATGGATGGATCAGAGGTTGGGTGGCTGCAATTTTTAATCATGCCGGGCTGTGAGTCACACCGAGCACATCTTGTATCTTTTTTGTCATCCTTTCCAAAGGGCTTTTTTTGGGGGGGGGTTCCCCCTCCACCTTCTTACTGCTTTGCCGTCCCAGACCCAGCCCTGTGGTCCAATGAGGCATCCTAGAGTCTCCATCTGCCACTCAAGTCAGCCATGCGTTTTTCCCTTTGTGTACGTGACACCGGGCGGGTTGCCTCCACCACGGCAGCCAGGGTCATGTGGGCAAAAAAAAAAATGCAAAGGCTTTAGCCTAAGATGGACTTAGCCTGATTTGCTTGCTGATGCATGAGCCAGTTTTAGCCAGGAAGCATAGCTATCCTGAGTGCTCTCTCTCTCTCTCTCTCTCTCTCTCTCTCTCTCTGAAACACGTTGCTGGACGGAAGCCACAGCTCCAGGGAAGGGAAGCCCTCTGGGAAGGGGAAAAGGGAAGCTGCAGGTAACAGACCAAGCACCTCCCTCCCTCCCTCCCTCCCTCCTTCTGCTTTCTTTCTGCTTCCCTACCTTCTGCTTGGCTCCCTGCACTGATGTTAACAGGATGGAAGGGAAATAAAAGCATGTTTTGGAGCAAGCTAATGCTCTTAGCTCGGAAGCAAGCAGTCATAACCGTTGATCAAGGGGCGGCAGAGAGGGGGAGAAGTCAGTGGAACTTGCTTAGGGAAGCCAAGGAATAGGGAGCCGACATGAAAGGAAATTGCTCAACCAGGTTAAGGGTTCTGCGGGAGATTTTTAGTCAGTTGTTTTCTCTGCTCCTTTCCTGGCTCAGCCCACATGCTGACTGACATTTTCATGTTGCTTTTCGGGACCATAACATCCTGTGCTCAGGCGAGGTATACCTTCCTCTGCCTTGTGAGTCAGATCGACCTCTCCTTCTGACATTGTTAACGGCAACTGATTGGACCGCTCTGCAAGGTTGGCAGGGGGCCCTCCTTAAAATCACAACCCATGAATATCAGAATGGAAGGAAATGTCTTTCGCTTGGGGGGCACTGTCATACCTTCCTCGATGTAGGCCAAAGACCAAAGAAAGACCAATTCACACAGCCATTTGAGTGGATACTCCTTCTGTGACGAATCACTGGATTGTTTCAGTCTGTCTCTGGATCGTGAGTCATGGTGGTCCTTAAAGGCTGATGGAGATGACATTTGAAGGTGTCTCAAAACCATGATGTGGCCTCTTCATTGTGAAGTGGGACCTGTTCCGAATAGGGGGAGCATCCAAGTGATATGATAGACAGCTTGCCCTTTTGAAGACTTCACTTACTGGCATCTCCAGCAAGGGGGAAGAATCTTTCTTGGGTAAGAAAGACCTTAATGATGATGAAAAGATTGGGTGCCAACTTCTGTACTTATGTAGGGGAGGAATCATGCATTTAAATGATCCACACTCACCCACAATATAACAAAGCTAAAGAAGGGGTCCTCATTAAACTTGTGGGCACTTAAGGAATCTTTGAGAAATCTCTGAGAATGGGTGCCATTACAAAGTGGCTGCCGTGAGAGTGAATTACAAAATTATCGGAGTTTTCAAACCAAAGATCATTCTATGATGGGGGCAACTATTTCTTCATGGGCACTCCCTGCAGACACGAATCCAATGATGCCTGCGATCTTCAGTACCACCCACCCCAATGAAATGGAAGAAAGACAGGACTGGCCCTTTGCTTTGGAGAAGAGGTATTTTGGGAGAGAAGCAAGGGAACACCAGGAACCTCTTCAGCAGGTGCCATGTTAGGGATCACTGGCTTAGAGGAACAATGATCGCTCCGGGGTAGAACCCTTGTCTGCCTGCCAAAAATCTCAAGTTCAAGCCCTTGTATCTCCAGTTAGAAGGATCTCCAGTGACCGGTGTTGGGAAGGCCCTTGTTTGCAAAAGAGCTGCTGCCAATCAGAGTAGACAATACTGAGTCCTGTGGGCCCACAGTCCATCATGCTGTAAGATTTTATGTATTTTATACCCTGCTGTGTAGTCAGATTCACTCCCAAAGTGGCTTACAATGACAATCTATCATGATTTTATTGTTGAGAAGTACAAGTTCATTGTTTTGATGTTCCTCCCCCCAATCTCGACAACAAAGAAACTCCAGCCATTATTGCATCATTTTGTGTGTGGGGGGGGGGGGTAGACCTGGTAGGATATTGGGAAGTTGGAGCTGTCAGTAGAGATGACGGATGAGCATTTTCACATGAGTACATGAAACTGCCTTGTACCGAATCAGACCATAAATCTATCAAGGTCAGCATTGTCTGCTCTGACTTGCAGCAGCTCTCCAGTGCCTCAGAGATCTACTTGATCCATCTTTAATCCCAAAATGGTGGGAATTGAACCCCTAGGATCTTCTTGACACCAAGCAGATGCTCTGCCACTGAGCCACAGCCCATCCCCTGAGATGTTAACCCTCTATTCTCGTCCCCGCCTTCCAGTTTCTGTTGGCTTTTAACAACTGGGCCCTAAGTGTCTTTGCAGTGGAAGTGCACCACAACAAAAATAAACAGGGGAGCACAGAGAGCCTTCCTCTGGAGAAACCCAGTAGCTCTTAAGGCCTGCCAGAACACTGACATGCTAGCTTTCTATATACAGGGTGTTTTTTTTAAAACAGGCAAAGATGCTGTCTGAAATGGGACCATTCTGCAAAAGCTGTGTCCTTAGGTTCTTCTAGTGATGTGCATCAACTCTTGGAGAGAAACAGACAGAAGAATCCATCCCCCAGCAAGAATACGTGCAGTGATTGTGAGAATTAATCCAGAGGTCATGAATTAGTGAAGGTTAACAACAGGGAGGTGTTTCATAGAGGTGGCTTTCTAACATGAGTAACTGGCCTGTGTCAACTAGTGGAGATCTAGGTCTAAAAAAGTGAAAAGCAGGTTTCCCTCAGGCAAGCAGAATGCATCCCTGGCTAATCCTCACCTGCTTTGCACGGGTATTAGGGCTCATCCTAGGTCAGAAAATCCCCAGTCCAATTGAAATATTTCTGCCTTTACGTCACATCAGTCTCCTCTGGCACAACCATGTGCAGATGCCAAATCAGGACATTGTGATGAACCCTTAACATTCAAACACGGCCAGCTCAGGCTGGGTATATTGGGAAAAGACAGGTTGGAGAAGGGAGGGCACCCCCGTTTTGAACCTCTGCAGATGGCACAGAGGAGGAGAGAGGGACCAAGAGAGGGAGGGAGGGGGATAACCTTGAGACCCATTCACTAGGCTTGGGGAGTGTTCGAGGGGTGATGTCCTCCAGCATGAAACTTTTGGCAATGGACCTGCCTGCACAAAAGGGGCAAGGATGGGCCCATACACGTGTAGCAATACAGATACCCTCAGAAAAGCACATACACCATCAGGGCTGCTTTGTACACTTTGGTACCCCAGATCCTATTCCTGAGTGAAAGATACAGAACAGCAGTGTCGTATGTGAAGAGAACACAGTCATCACAATGCAACTTTTGCTAAGCGGCATCTCAGCTCCTTACAGTAAATCACCAGCATTTATAGACACGTGGGCCGTTCCTACCTGATGCTATTTGCGCACTTTCTGTTCCCAGGAACAGATTCCTCACCCTCTGAAAGATGCACACGGGGGAAACCCAGTTACACACCAGTGAGGGTCAAGAGAGAGGGTACTTTGCTGCTTAAACAGATGGGGACCAAGAGAATGGAACAGGAAAGTGCTGTGTTAATAACCCCCTCCCCCCCCCAAGACACACACATGCATTTTTACTGGACTGGGGTGGGAAGAACTGCTACATCCTTCTGTCAGTCCTCAGAGGTATACGTCTAGATGCAAACACTCAGCTCATGAGAGCCACTCCCCCCCCCCCAATCCAGTGCTCCCATGAGGGTGCAAAAATTTATTTTCAAGTTTCACATTTTTGTGGAGTTGCTGCAGAAAGAAAGTTTAGAACTTGAACCAACCTCAACAGTGTGAAAAAAGCTCCCTTCCAGGGGAGAACAGGCGCACATGGTGTGCCCCCACGGAGGGGTAACCGCCGTTTCTCCCACCCATCCTGATCCACACGGGGACACTACTGAACCCACCCATAGCTCCCTCTGTTGAGACCTGGGCAGCTCAGTTCTCCACCGTGTCACCCAGGATGGCCAACCCATTGCTTTGTCCATCCGTCTATGCACTTCCTTTCATGGTACACACCCAAGACGCATGCTTTTTCTTCCCCCGTGTTGATAGCATCGATATAAAGTCTAGGTTTGGTTGTCACCTTTCCCCTCTGCCTGTCTTTTTAAAAAATCGGTCTCCACTAGTTCCCTTCCTTGCTCTGTAGTTAAGGATTGTCTTTAAATAGTTCCTCGACTTCACACAGAGCTACGGCGCTTCATAAGTCCTTGGAAAGCCGACAGGCTATGAAGTCCTGTGGAAACAGAGCTTATGGCCGAACGCTGGGTGTTGCAGAAGCATCTGTTGGACGGCGTCTCGGGGTAGTGGCCAGGCGAGGAATGGCTCTGTTCCATGCAGGTGTCTGAGGTGGAGAGGTCTCTGGGGATGATCATTGGGATGGAGTACTGGAGCTTCTCCCGGCTCTTGTACCAGAGGCAGGAGCACATGGACTGGAAGTGGAGGACCTCGGCGTAGACATTCCGGAACCCCCCTCGGCCACTGCCGCTCCCCCCTCCCATGCCACCCCCGTGTGCGGCAGTGGTCGAGGAAGCCGTGGTGTCCGTGGTGTGGACGCTGCTAGCTTGCCCGTTGCGGTTGAGCAAGGCCCGGTGCTCAGCGTCCCGCTTCTCGTCCTCGGCATTCATAGTCATGAAGCGGAGCACCACCAGGTTGAGGAAGGCCCCAATGACGGTCAGCCCAGTTAAGATGTAAATAAAGCTGAAGGCCACATACTGGGGCTTGGTCTGGAGGGCATGCTCCTTCTGAAGGGCCACGTAGTCCCCAAAGCCGATGGTGGTGAGGGTGATAAAGCAATAATAGTAGGCCTGGAAGAAGGTCCATCGCTCGTAGTAGGAGAATGCCGCCGCTCCAATGCAAAGGGTGCTGATGCAGGAGAAGAACCCAATGGTGACCATGTTGGCCATGGACACTTCTGGCCGCCTCATGCCAAGGCACTTCTTGATACGGTGGAGGAGGTATCTCACAAAAGTGTTGATCCTCTCACCCAAGCTCTGGAACATTACCAGGGTAAGGGGGATTCCCAGCAGGGCATAGAACATACAGAAGACTTTCCCACCATCGGTACTGGGGGCTGCATGGCCGTACCCTATGGAAGAAAGACACAAAGCACAAGCAACCTGGTCAGTACCACTTGACAGATAATCGGTATCATCGGTACACCGAGGAAGGAGCCTCCCCTCCGGGCTTGGTAGCTGGTGGGTGGGTGCCGCTTCCTCCTCATTCATGAGGGTGGCTTGGAAAGAATGGAGAGGAATCACAACTGGATGGCCACTGTGGCCTGCAAACTCAGTGGTGTGGCAATCTGTGCCGAGGTCCTCCTCTTCTGGTCCATGTGCTCCTGCTTTTGGTACAAGAGCCAGGAGAAGCTACAAATACTCCTTCACTAAGATGCTACCCACAAAACTCTCTTCACACACCCCGGACACACACAGAGCCACACCATGAAGTCAGCAGGCCAGAGCTGCCTCTACCTAACCCAGGACAAGCGGCTGCAGATATTTGGCCAAGGGGGAAAGGACCAATCAGGGTGGAAAATGCAGGGAAACCAGAGAGGAGACTATTGTAGGACACCTGCAGAGAGAACAGGATGCTGGGTGGATAATTGGAGCAGACTTGGGGAGGATATGGGGGAAAACAGGGGTGGGTGGTTGGGAAGCAGAGCAGAAGGAGGGGAAGGCTAAAAAGCTGGGTGGCTTGGTGTGGTGCAGCTGTGCTGAGAGCCACTGGTGTGATCTGGTCTCTCTTTCCCAATGTCCAAGCTCAACCTGATCTCCTGCTGATAGACTCCCCCCCCCCATCCCAAGTATATCGTTCATTTGGGAATTTGGGAAGTCAGCATCCTTCTTCCAAAATCCCTTAAGCAAAGGAATTTGTGGATCTTATTTTCCATGGACTTTATATACCACACTTTTCATACCTGATGCACATACCTGATTCCCCCCTGTGTTCCCCCAGTATTGAGGCAGACTTCAATTTCATACTCAAAAGGATACATGGATATTTTCTCAATCAGTTTCCCGTAGAGGCCTCAGCCATCTCCCTTTCAATGGCCATATAGCCAGTTCATATTCTTTTCCATCATCCCAGCCTTCCTTTTGCTCAGTCAGAAATGGGACAGTCCTTTTCTGTAGGGGGGAATCTTGATATCGTCCTAGAATTCCCTCCCATCTATCAAATGAAGCCTTTGGGATTTAATTGTCACTCCCTCCCCCGGAATAAAGTCACATTAGTAGAGTGTGGGATCTGTGCAGCACCCAACGGGCTTAGAGAGGTTGATGCATCCAACATATTCCAGGAAACATTCCAGCCACTCTTGCAGTGCACCAGTGCATCCCGTACAACATGATGCTAATGTAATCCATGTTGAGTTGTAGACTGGAAGGTCAGCAGCTCAGCAGTTTGAGACCCGAGTGCCACGTGATGGAGTGAGCTCCCGTCTCTGGTCCCAGCTCCTGCCAACCCAGCAGTTCGAAAGCAAGAAATTGCAAGTAGATAAATAGGTACCACTTCGATGGGAAGGTAACAGTGTTCCATGTGCCTTGGTGTTTAGTCATGCCGGCCACATGACCACGGAGAAGTCTTCAGACAGCGCTGGCTCTTTGGCTTGGAAGCAGAGATGAGCACCGCCCCCTAGAGTAGAATTCGACTGGCTTTTGAGCAAGGGAAACCTTTACCTTTAATCCTTTCATGCTTCCAGATTACTCTGCCATTGTTTGTTCAATGGGTTACACTGTAACTTCTGAGCTGGATGTTCAGATTTTGGGGTAAAGTTCCTTGTGCCTCACTTTCCCCTAAATATGATTTTTTTTTTTTAATTTCGAGGTGGTGCCTGGATTTCTCCTGGAATTATAACTGATCTCCAGGGATCCGCTCCCCTTGGAGAACAGGGCAGCTCTATGGCCATTACACTCCTGCCGAACTCCTTTCCCCTCCTCAAGCTCCGCCTTTCCCAGGCACCGCACCACAAATCTCCAGGAGTTTTCCAAGCCAGAGTTGGCAACCCTATTTCCAGCTGATATTCCAGTTCAAGAGGCTTTCATTTATTCATCAAGGTTTAATGGCAATACAACATGCTAATCCAGAGCAGCATGCTCAGTGACACCAAATGCCAATCGAAACAGCCACATATTTAGTACCTATTACAAAAAAAAAAAAAAACCAGGAGGAGGAAGTATGGGAAGAGAATTCCATGCAAGGGAGCAATCACCCAGAAGGCCCTGTTTTTTGTTGTTGTTTTTTAAATCAATACCCGCTTTGCTTCAAAGCGCAGAGGGTGGCATTTCAACAAGAACCCTTCTTGGTGAAGTCAAGTGTATGGAAAAGCCGTCTGTGTTAGGTTCAATGTCATTAGAGAACTATCTGCCTAGTCTCCTAGGAGAAGCTTCCCTTGACAAAAGCGGGTGTTGGAGATGCTTGCAAGCAGACAGGGCTGCCTAAAGCTTATGTGAGCAAATCGACGAAGCCCAGGAAAAATAGCTCCAATCTTGTCCTCTGGACAGCCATTTTAGAGGCTCAGAGACATTGAAATAGCACCACTTTCCACTAGGGGGCTCTAGCATGTCTTGATGAGTCCCCAAAGGCCATGGCAGATTCTGACCCCCTTCACAGCAGATGATTAGAAATGTGCTTGTCGAAAGATCTCAGCAACCACGAAAATGAAAAGAGGAGGTCAGATCAGCTTTAAACCTGCCCAGCAGCTACAAGGCATAATTACAGATGGTTTTAAAGCCTAAGAGGATAATGTGACCTCAGAGAGAAAATGGAGGGGGGGGATAGGAAGGGGAGGGGGGAGGAGAGCCTGCGCAATGCAGGTGGAAGAGTCTGAGCACACGATGGCGTTACGACAGGGGTGCCAATTCCGGGTTGGGAAATTCCTGGAGATTAAGGGTGGAGCCTGGGGAGAGAGGGCTTGTGGAGGGAGGGACTTCAGTCAGTAGGGTTCCCAGCCTCCAGGCGGGGGCTGAAGATCTCCCGGAATCACGGCTGATCTCCAGGCTATAGAGATCAGTTCCCCTGGAGGAAATGGCCATGCCCTTTAACTAGAGAGGCTGGGGATTGAACCTGGGATCTTCTGCATGCCAAGCAGATGCTCTACCACTGTGCCACAGCCCTCCACAGCCCTACTTGGAGGCTGGCAACCGTACGTTTAAAAAGAAGTCATTTCCTATGAGTCACAAAATGATAGAGGTGCCAAATGCCAGCAAAGAGACCTGAGGCCAGAAGCCCCCAACCTCGTTAAGGCACTTTGGGATTTGGAGGACAGGCAATGTGCCTCCTCACAGAATGACCACCACACCACGCGGGACCAAGAGCAAAATGACTGCTATGGGGTGGGGGGTTGCAAAACATTGGGAAGTTCCAGGCCAAGCATTATCCCGTGATAGAGGCAGCTATTTCTGAATGGATGCTCCCTGCAGACCAAAAGGTGATGCCTTCAAAGATCCTCTGAAGTACTTCCTGCTCCAGTGAGATGGAAGAAGGATAGGTTCTTTGTGTTGAGGGGAAAAACATTTTGGGGGATGAAGCAAATGTGCATCAGGAAACACATTAGTGAGCACCATGGTGGCCATGGGTGCCATGTTGGGGATCATTGCCCTCGCCCATTCAGACGGTGCCTAGAAAGAACTTTATATTGCTTTCCCACCCATACCCCTTGTGTGCCACTCTGAGTGCCTTGGAAGGAAGGCAGGATAAAAACGTGATAAATGAGAGAATCCCATCCACTCTCGTCCAGTCTTCAATGTGTGAGCCAGAGGCTAAAAAACTGTGAGCTAGCTCACACTAACTCAGCTTAGAGGGAACACTGCTCCTCACATGTAGGAGCTGTGGGGGGGGGGGTCCCTCTGCTGTGATCCTTGTGCTTCTTTTTTATTTTAAAACTGGCTTTGCAAAATCCCACTATTCCCCCACTTTTCCAGTTTAGGCAGGCACATTTTAAAGGGGGGGGGGAGGTCTGGGACCATCCAGGGTTAAAATATAGAGTTCTGCAAACTCAAGGGACTCCAGTTTTGCAGCGAAAGATTCGTTTTCACACACCCTCCTAATGTGGAGTTCCAATGGAATAATGGTGGAACAGGTGCTGAAGAGGACGCCCAAAATTATTATCTCAAACCACCCTGTAAAAAAAACCCTTGAGACCCTGAGGAGCCACTGCCACTCTGAGTAGACCTGGAAGGAGTTGGGGGTGGGGGGGAGCTTGCAATGCTCAGCTATTTCACGTTCTTCCCTTGGATCCTAGGCTCAGACCATTTATATTTGTAGTTTATATGGGGGGGGGAGTTTGGGACTAACCACAATTAAAATATAGAATTCATCAAACTCAAGGGACTTTAGTTTTGCAGAGAAATATTAGTTTTAACACACATACACCCTCCTAATGTGGGGCTCCAATGGAACAGCTGCGATAATATCTTTAATTATGCTTGTCTGTATCCTCTATAAAGTTTATACCTCTTCTACCTGGCATTACATTTTATGACACACACAGCCCAGTACAACAGAGTCCAATTTATGTCAATAAATTCCCTCATAACAAATGAGTTCAACACCCCTGGTTTAGAGCCTTGAAGGTCAGTACCAGAACCTTGAGCCTGATCCAGTACTCAACTTGGAGCCAGCACAGCTGGTGAAGCACTGGTTGGATAGGTGCTGTTGATGGGGTCCTGGGTGCTGTTGATGGGCTGCCTTCTAGACAAGCTGTCATTTCCAGGTCAGTCTTAAGGGCAGCCCTGCATAGAGCGCATTACAGTAGTCTAGCCTGGAGGTGACTGTTGCATGGATTACCATGGCTCAGTCAGGGTGGGACAGGAAAGGGGTCAGTTGCCTGACCTGGCACAGCTGGAGAAATGCCAGCCTGGGAATGGTTGTGACCTGAGCCTCCATAGACAAGGAGGCATCCAGGTACACACCCAGGCCCTTGACGGTTGGCACCGGGGTTAGAGGTACGCCGTCAAGAGCTGGGAATCTGGCATTATTATTATTATTATCTTCATCATGAAAGGATTATATTCAAAGAGGTGGGCTGATCTGGAAACAATATGTAATTGATTCTCCACCATGTGCATTCATTTATTTATACACACCCCT